TTATAATATTATTAAAGTCATTTTAAAAGAAAATTAATAACATAAAAAATATTTTTTGATAATTTCTTTAAGTTTATATTCATTTTAATACTTTGTAAATTGATATTGTATATATATATATATATACATTGAATATAATAAAAAAATATTACAAAGTATTAACATGACGTCTCTGGGTTAGCAGGTTGATATCGAATAAAATGAAGACTTACACGCGATCATACTACGTATATACGGTTGATACGCATACGAGAAATGGTTGTCAGAAGTGACACGGTATGAGGGAGTAAATCACATCGGCATTAAGACAATTAGATGGAGAACGATGGGTTCAGTTGGTTGACATGTCTTGGACAGAAACAGATGTCTAATATGCCTTTTATTTCGACTCCGTAGTCATATACGTATATGTTAAACACTTATTCGATCCACAGGACGTACGTAGGATAAACGCATGGGCGTCGATGCGAAGCATTAAAAATGAGGAATAATATGACACATATTTTAATCATATAATTTTTTCATTACAAAAAGGTTATATATAAAATTTTTATTTAAAATATGTGTAAATATTACCTCAAGAAATGTAATGTCCAAAAATATATACATAAGTTTAAAGTTGTATTTTACAAATAAATTGTTAGCGACGACCATGTGCATGATACAATTCAAAGAATATATATGCATGCAAAAGTCTATTTGTGGTCGTGCAATTGTACGAAGGAAATGAGATCAAGTTTGAGTGATTACAGCAGTCGAAGAGAAGAGGAAAGAGACAGGGAATGGAGATAGGACAGTTCAAGAACCGAATCTACAGATTACCAGCTGGATAAAGTGGAACAAACGAAGTACCAGATTTTTACGAATACTAAGTACATCGTTTTTTTATTAATATTTAGATTATTTAATATATGAAAATATATTACGATATGGAGGTATAATGGATTTTTTTAAATAATTACTTTGAAATAATTACACAGATCTGATTAAGATTGCTTTCAAAAATAAACATTTATTTCAAAATTAATGCTTACCAGCTGTATCCTAAAAACTAAGATCTATCCTATACACTGACTGTGTTTAGGTGTTATTTTCTTAAGATTTCTTAAGAATTCATTGCATTATTAAGTTGTGTACAATTTTTTGTCTGTTGTGTCTGTAGTACCGTAATAGCTTTCATAGCAAAATCAAACATTTTCTGATTTATATCATCACATGATTTTCTTGCACACATATATTACATTCAAATGACGGTACCAGAATGTATTTTGCACATATTGTAATATTTCAACACTTGAAATCATGCTTACATACTGGTTCACGTACTATTTTTTTATCACCAAACTTAAATCGATCGATTTTCATTCGTCTATGTCTTGATAAAGATTATAATGATAGTACCGCTAAATGGTGATATCACATTTATGGTTCGGAGTATGTACTGTTTGGTCAGTTTAGAAAAAAATGTGACACAGACCTAAACAGTTTCTTTCGCAGATTGTACCAACTCTCCAAATGAGGTTTCCAAACATTGTCGTAATTCTGCATAACTTACGACTAGTACACTCTGTTCGTCCCGTGACATCAAACATATCTATAAAAAAAAAATATTATTTATAAATACATATTCAAAAATAACAATAATATTAATTATTATTAATTATTATTAATTATTATTTTAATTATTTTAATATTATAATATTAAAAGAATTTAATTAAAAAATTTTTTAATATCTTATTTTTTATAAAAAATTTAAATTGTTTGTAAAAGAAAAGAGATAGAAACTATTTTCGAAAAAAGCATACTTTATCCTGAGAACCTGAGTCCAATTTGTTTAAACAAGATACGACATGTGCCATATCTAACCATGGTCTTCCATCAGCTGCTACCTGGTGGAAAACATAATCCCTAAATAATTTGAGCATATATCGATCACCCGTCTCTGCCCAAGTAGGTTCCATATTAAGCTCGGGTCTTTCGTTAATAGTAGCCAATTTTACAAGTAACTTAAATAATCTTCCATTTTCCAACTCCTTGGCAAGTTCGTTTTCTAATACATCGGATCGGAGTTGAGCTGCGTCTAATTGCGTATAAAATCGTGCTCCAATCATTGGCATGAGATCTGTTACACTTTTTCGTGCTTGATTAGACAGTAAATACCTATAAAATTATATACATATATAAACACACGCGGTTATAAATATGAGCAATATGTCACTCTATATATCGAAAGTTAAAGTCTTTTATATCAAAAATAATTTATTAATATATTAATATATTATTAATATAAAAAATATTTCAAAATTTATATTAATTATAATTATAATATTATAATTAATTATTTCAAAAAATATATTAAATTAAAATACATTGAATCAAATCATAAAGAAATATTATTTTTGCATTTTAAAAATTAATAAATAAAATTAAAGAAAAATAAGATTTATACAAACAGAATAAGATTTCGAAGATCCGTGGAATAGGAACGTGCGACGAGTTCAAGAGAAGCTTGCATGTTGTCGCGATGGACGGCAAGGAGACTGCGACATGCTAATGCCAACACCAACTTTCCTAAAGCAATTAAATCTTCTTGTTGGTAATGTGGTATAAGCGAAAGTGGATTTGATGAGCTTCCATCATAAGTAACAACATCTGGTATAGCTGCACAACTTAGACGAAGTCTTGTTCGTGATGTGAGTAACACTTTTGTAGGATCTAAACATCTGTATGCCAACCCTAAATTATAAAATAATCATAAATTTTATATAATTATTTATAAAATGAAGCAAAATATATAATAATATTATTAATAAATACAAACCAGCAGCATGAATAACACGAAGAGCGGCAGTGAGTTGAATTATATAGCTCCATATAACACTTTCTGGTAGCATACTACTATGTTGTTGCCTCAAAATAGTATTCTTAGTGTGGCTATAAGGTCGAGGCGCATTTGGATCTGAGGAAAATGGATCTGTATAACCATTTAATTCGGTTGCTGAGAAATGTTTGGTTAATAATGTTTCCGATCCGGGATGGTAATCGTAAACAAATATCATGGCTAAAATAATTAAAATTGTTTTACAGAAACATATTTATCAATTTTGTTTTAATATATTATAAATACAAGTTACAATACAAACAATTATCACCGAAAGCCTTGGTAGTAAAAACTTCTCTTAATTGCACCAAATTTGTATGTGATAAGCGTTTCCACATATCAACCAGCACCATACATTTTGTATTAGCAAGTCTGAAATCTAAAAACATATTAAATGCTTATTTCAATACCAAACATTTTTTATTTATTTATTGTTTTTTATTTATATATTATAAATAAGTAAAGTTTGTAACAAGATAAAAATATTTACCGTGTATACGTCGTAAACAATAACGTGTACCACTTTTAATACTAGTAGCTTTATAAGTTGATGTTTGATATCCAAGAATTGTTGATGCAGGTTTATGAATTGGTTCCAGTGGGCACAACTCATGATAATTATCTACTTCGTTTGGTAGATCGGGAAATCGTACTATATCAGGTTGTACTAATGTTAAAGCATTTTTTTGAAGAATGTCCATTCTTAAACTTTCACTAACAAAAAAACTAAGTGCTGCTTGGGGAGGTGGGGTTGAGGGAGCAGAAGAACTATTAGATGATGGAGGTTTTGTAGGTTTTATTGGTTGGAGATGTGCGGGAGTTCCTGGATAGACATAGCCTATCTGACCTGCCCCCACATTTCCAATCTGTTCATAAAAGTATTCATTAATTCATTAATTAAGAAATAAAAAAGATTTCATTTGAATTTCTAAATTTGCTTACAGTTTCAGTTCCATCTTCTGTTCCAACAGTATCTGTTACTGCATTTCCAAGATAAAAATAGGTAGTACCACCCACATTTTCTTGTGAATGATAAGAATTATTGAAAAGATTTGGAGAACTACTGTTGCTATTAGTAAGACCTCTTCCTGGTACAAATTCTGGACTGGCAGTTACCTTTTTCTGTGAATCCAGAGAAAGATTTGACAAATGTTTGGTAATAGTGGTGGTACTTAGAGTTACTCCAGGACTTTGACGATTCTATAAAAAAATATATAATAAGAAAATAAATATAAATTTAATACATTGCTTTATATATATGATTTTTTTCTTCAAATAAATTTTAGATGAATAATGTAGATGAATAATACATTACCATGTAGGTAGCAAGTTTGGACTCCAGTGGAACTCCATTCGTTTGAGGGGTATATGTAACAAACATTGATGGGTCCATCTCTGCTTCAACCACTGCATTTACTATAACACTTAACCCTCACTTCTATTTTCTGTATTTTTCTTCTTGCAGAAAATCCCTTCCCTCCTGTTTTTCTCAGTGGGAATTAACAAATGTACTTTATTTCAATTATATTTCCTTATTAGACAAATATATAATTCGATATCAATCTCCAAAGCCTATAACATATTTTATAAATAAAAATAAAAAATAAGCATGCAATTAAATTTTACATATAACTTTCAACTATTATTTAATATTATTTTGTAACAATAGCTATAAGATTACATTATGTTCATAAAATTATATATAAAATATAAATAATTAAATATGCTTTGCCAAAAAATTCATTCATTTGTTATTGTATACTAAAATTCAAAATTAAAGACATTACTATGTTACATATAATTATCATTATGTTATTTATAATAATTTTTATTATATACTTATATACATCATTTTAATTTTTTCAAAAACATAATATTATTAAACAAATAACTAATATATGAAAAAAGAAAATATATAATTGGTTTTTTAAATATATAACAATTAATTAATTTTATTTATATTATTTTGAATTTTGTTTGTATTTGTTTGTATTCGTAAAATCATTCAAAAAGTCATGCACAAATTTGATAAAATATACCGCTTGTTATAAATGAAGCATCAACTTGCCGCGTATGATTTCAAAAGAGTAAACATAACACAAATTGTTAATTCTGAATGAAATTTCGAGTATGATGAGTCTAGCTCAAGTTATAAAAAAAAAGGAAAACCGAAATGAACAAGTAGAATCGCACGCTATAGCAATGGCAGCTGATTTTGACAATACAGCGAAAAAGACGCACAGGATATAACCTTGACTCCACGTTATTGCTGATATGAGGTATTCACTGTAATCACAGTTTCGACAGAAAGTTCGAATAATTGTGCAACAAAGGGACCAAAAACAATAAATTATGAGAACATATTCGATAAAACGCGTACGAACAGTACGCTCAGCTAACATAACCATTTACACTGTCATTGATGTCGCGTCGGTGTACGGCGCCAAAATTCCGATCTTTTCGGTTTGTGATACACCACGATAAACACGCGTAATAAAAAACAACAATTAAAGTGATGATTGATAACAGCCTGACCGTATTATAACATGTTTCCATCCAGTAGACTTGAGTAGATACAGGAGAAAGCAGCACCAATCCGATCTAATATGTTTATGGTGTTCTCCCTTTGCTTCGGCTGCCTATATGTATTTCTCTTTCTCCCTCTCTTCCTTCCCCACCCCCCTCTCCTGTTCATCGTCCTTCGATCGGAGCAGCTGTCTCTCTGCCACAGCTTGTCTCCGGGCGCGCGAGTCGCAAAACTGTATATTTACGTTTCGAACACATTACGAATGATCGCATTTCGAATTATTACTGTATTTTTCGGATCTTCGGATTACTATTTCTTAATAAGAATGAATTATTTATGATATTTTCGATACATTTAAATTCTTCTAATACATTATTAAGGAAAATCGATTATTAAGGAACAAAAACATGTCACGATTTAGTTGGTATAATACCGTGTAAAGTGTACAGTGTTATGTTATTGCGCCGCATTTAGAATATTTATATTAATATATAATCTTTTATGATTAATTAACATTTTAAAAAATATTTCATTTGTGATAATAAATATAAGTAATAAATATATATATATTAGATTATTATAATATATATATTAATTATAATCAATGAAAAAAATAAAAAAATATATATATTATATATATATTTTTTAAAAAGTTAATTTCAAATACAATTTCAGAGTTAATATTATTTTTATTATAATAATTATAAGTATGCTTTATTTATTCTTATATATTTAAAATGCATAATATAATTTTGTATTTATAGTCTTTCTTTATATTTTATTTCTTTTAAGATATTTTTTTTTATTTTAAATTAATAATAAATATTAATATAATACAAATATTTATAATAAATATAGAAAACTTTTTTCGATACTCTAGTCTTTCTGATTAATCCATTCAATTGTATTCTTGTATCTGTTGGCAACCCTGATCAAAATACTTTTGATTATTACAGACTTCAAGTATCTGATTGTATATAGCAGTTTAGAGTATCGAGAATTCGAGAACGTGCAAATTCTCTCATATTTAATTGTTATTGCGATTTGCGTTTATTAATAAACGTTGCAATTTAAATCTAAAAAACTTAATAAAACATTTTATAATAATGATTATACCTGTACGCTGTTTTACCTGTGGAAAAGTGATTGGTAACAAATGGGAAGCTTATCTTGGTTTATTACAAGCAGAATACACGGAAGGGTAAAGTATTAGGTTATTACATATTAGATTATTACAAATGAAATGATTTAATTTTTAATAAAATTGATTTATAACTTTATTAAAAATAATAAATAATTAATCAAAATTTGATTCAAGTAATTTAATATATTTTGTTTATTTAAAAAGAAAATTAAAATTTAATTACAATTAAAATTTGTAATTAATTGTTATTAATAACTTTTTGATTCATTTTTAATATTTGTATTTGATAATTTAAGTTATTAACATCAATAGTAGATCATTTATTCTTTTAATATAGACAATTATTTCACTCTATTATAACATATATATTATAACAATATTATATTATATATATATTAGATTATTATATTATAATAATACTCTATTATAACAATAATTTTCTGTTAAATTTATAAGAAAAAAAGGCGAATTTTAAATAGAGATATAGTGTATAGTATAGAGATAATATATAATTTATTTTTTGTAACAAAATAATAAAATGTTAATCAATTATATTTAATTATTTTCAAGTTTTAAATTAACATGCAATAAATATTATTTAATAATGAACATTTAATTAGTAAACTGTGAATTGCATTTGTGAAGTTAGTCACTTGATATGCAACAATCTAACATGTATATTATATATATATAATATATATATATATATACATATATCTTATACTAAATTGAAAAAATAAAATATAATTTAAATGAATATCTACAAATAATATAATTTATATATTATTATTTATATTAATAAGAAATCTAAGTTGAATTGTGTAGAATTTATAAAATATAGTAGTATATAAATAAATTATAAATTTTTTATTATTTTTTAGGAATATTTTCATATTTATCATATTGTCATATATATTAATAAGATATAATAATTTATCAAAAATTATCAATATACAATTATCAAAATATATTGTATAATATATCTTTGTTACAGAGATGCTCTTGATGCATTGGGATTGAAACGATATTGCTGTCGTAGAATGCTTCTTGGACATGTAGATTTAATTGAAAAACTTTTGAATTATGCACCATTAGAAAAATAAAAATGTAAAATTTTATATAATATTAAGATATTATTATTTATATAAAAATATATTTTTTTAAATTATGTGAGAATAGATAAAGAAAAGGAATAAATATACAAATATTATTGTAAAATGATTTGTATTTAAAAATCTTAATTATTTTTTTTTTTACCAGAAATATGTAAAAATTTTTAACAATGGTATAAAAAATCGATTGATTTATAACAAGTTCAATAAAAGTTGCTTCAAAAACATGTTTTTTTTAAATATACATTCATATTAAATGCAACACAGAAGAGTGAAACATTTTCTGTATTGTGAATCACATGTATGAAATATATAATGACCTGCTTAGACGTTAAATATTACAACAACATATATCATATAATACAAACCATATAATGTATGTTATTAAATTTGGAAAAAATGAAGGTTATATTTTGAGATTCAATTATTAATTTATAAAATGAACAAATGAATATATAAAAGTTTTTTATATAATAATAATTTTTGTCAATTTTAAAAATTAATATTTTTGACAAATATAAAACTTAATTTTTTTTAGGATAAATTTCAAAAGATACAATTATGCAGCAAAATAATATAATTTTTTCAAACATAATTTATCATTATTAAAATTAAAAATTTCAATTTTATTAAATAAATAATATCAAATAAATTAATTAGAACGTATTGCTCCAATGTATATTATGAATACTGTCAATTTTTTTCAGTCTAAATTTGCGAATTAAATATAATGGAATATATTATATATTATATTTTAGGAACAAAGTAAATCACTAGATACATTTTGAAACTAATTTATCATCCAATAATATTTAAAATCTTTTCATATAACCTTCTCTAACATTATTTATTCTGTAAATTGTTCGCGTGTATTACTATTACACCGAATGTCGGTTTTTATATTTCATTATCCTTACAAGAATTAAGTTCTGAAGTTCTTATTTGTATATCAACTGAAGTTCTGTTGAATTTTTTTATCTTACTAGAGCATTTCTTGTAAGCATACATTGCGTCTAAATTTCTGATATATATTTGATTAAAATTCTGATTATATTAATCTTATAAAATAAATTATTTTTAATCCTATTTTGATTTTTATGATTGTCTTTATCAAAATAATAAAATTATCAGAAATTTATTGCATTAAAATCTTTTAAATGGTTTCCAAACTCTTTCGAAATTTGGAACAGCAATACCTAAAATTCTATATATATATATGAAAAAAATTTTCTTAACTGTATAAATTAGCGATTTGTATCAATGCACTACGAGATCCAAATACTAAAGCCATAATGCCAATAATACAAATGATTACGTTCTTCAGTGCTACCCAATTTCCTGGTCCAAAACCAACGTCCCAATAAGTTACAGTTTCGACAAACACAGGAATTAAAAGTCCCAATATTGAAAAACAAAATGCACCGATTAATCCAATAAAAGGTTCAATAGTTGGTACAATAACAGCCAGTAAGACTATAACATACAAATAATAATTTGTTAAATTATATATATATATTATAATATATAATTTGTTATAATATTTAAGAATTTATAATACACTTTATAACAAAAATTACATTAATAATTAAAATAATCACCTGCTCCTGTGACCATAACTGTTCTTAAAATATAATTTGCCAACATTGGTTTCTTTTGGAATCGATCTTTTATACCGTTCCATGCAATGTCAAGGCAAACATAAAATTGTAATCCAAATGTACAATAAACAGCAAGAGCTATTAAAATCTTTACAACTTGAGCTGGTCTAAAAAAAACAAAAAAAAAATATAAAAAATAATTATACAAAGTATTATTTAAAAATTACATTATCTTATTGTAATTCTTACATTTCTTCTGTTGGTAGATTTAATGTTATACTATCTAAGGTTTCATCCTGATATTTTACATATCCTAAAAATCCTAATAAAATGTATATAAGCGTAACACCGGACATTCCTTTATTTAAAACACCGCAAATTCCAACAAAATGTTGAGGTGTTTTCATGTTATTTTCCAGTGGCATTACAACTCCTAAAATAGTAAATTCATATTACTTTCTTTTAAATGTAAAATATATATATTATTTAGAATTTTTTAAATAAGTTAAGCAATACCTATTGCTTCCATTGCAAATATAGTTATACTGAAGAATCGTGGAAAATCCTCGATGGGTGCAAATAAAGGTACAGATGTAATAGGTGGCATATCCCAAACTAAATAATAAAAAGTTATTCCTAAACCTGTTCCCATAAATATATTAGCCACCATGGAAACAGGTGCAAGATATTTCAAATTTGGTATCCAGCTAAGCAATATCATTGGAATTAATAAACAAGTTGCCATCAATCGAAGACTGAATTCACCAGATCCTTCTTCTTTGTAATACTTAATGATTTGATTAAAATTTGCCGCAACAATAACTGTGTATACACTGCAGGTACCAAAGTACGTTGCAAATAAACTAATCTGTATTAAATACCTAGAGATAATATATTACATAATTATTTATCATTAAAATTGTGGTTTTTGAAATGATTTTATAAATTTATTATAATTATATATATTAGATATATTTTTATTTTATTATTATAATATTTTACCTAATAGGCTTTGAAAATTTCCTTCCCCATTGTGGGCCTGTAGCAAACGCTACTTCTGCTACATCGGCAAAACTCATTTCTGTGCGCCTCGTTTTATAATAAAGGACATGTGCACATTTTACCTAAAATATTAATTTTATATTTATTTGTATTATCTAAAATATTAATTATTTTTTTTATTGTATTATTATTTTAATATATAATTACCAAAATATATGCGCAATGTGTGCATACAAACGCCACCAAGACTGTAGCAAATATACCGACAACAAGTCCAGCATTTTTGAAAGCTATTGGCATGGATAATATACCCGTTCCAAGAGCTGCTTTCAATAAATGCGTTAATGTATCACCATCCCTGAAAATTATTTTCTATTATTGATTACTAGATATTTTAAAATCAATATATCATTTATATTTATATAATGAAATATACAATATAATGTTAGATATCGATTATTTTCTTTCAGTTAAATAGAGTAAATAAAGTATATGACATAAATGTGACATATTATAAAAATTAAGGGTATCAGTGCATTAAATATTTTTTAAATTGTATTATCACAACTTACGTCGTTGGGTTATCTACTCTTCGTTCACTGAAAGGGTCGAAGCTTTTTCCGTCACCCTGTCCAGTCTCCATATCTTGTGGAGCGACTTGCACTTTGTATCTACAAGGAACATAAATATTAAAATTATAATACTGATATTAAATAAATTTTACTTTATTTAATATATTTGATTATAGAATTAATAATATTATTTTCATTTTTCATGATAATATTTTTATTAAGATTTTTTTAAATAAATGATTAATATAAAAATAAATTCTTACTTAAATACACCATCTTTCACGTTGGACCCATCTTGGGGTAAGAAAGTGTCCATCTCCGTCGGCGCTTTATTGTCCTATAAATAAATATTATATAATTGTAAATAATAATTATTTGCATTATTTTTATAAAACAATTATATTTTCATAAAAACTTACCATGATGTGTGTGCGTATTTCTTTGTTTAGCTAATAATATGTTACCTATAACAAAAAAAACATGTATTACAAAACAATATTAATATGTAATATAAAGATAAAAAAAATGAAAGAAAAAATTGAAAATTTGAACTCAAAATTGTTTTAAATAAATTTTATAAAAATTAATAACAATTTATTTAATATATTTTAATAATATAAGTATTTTATTTAAATAATAATAAGTTTTATCGCAATTGTTGCAAATTTGTAATTAAAAAAAAAATGAAATAATATAACTATCATAAATTTACAGGCTAATTATTCCTTGATTTACGTACAAAATTATGAAAAATAAGATCACTGTTGTTCTATTTATTAATATTCCGCTTTATTATATTTATTTTATTAATTTCAAACTGTCAAAACAATTGTATGTTTTGAGTAAATAGAAATCATGATAATTATGATACATTTTATTATATTAATAAAGTTTAGTCATTATTAAGATATTATTATCGACAATCTGTCTCGATATTATATATATAAAAATCATAAAAGAATATGATATAATATTGTTCTGTTGTATACATTTGATAATACGGAGAATATATTCTTGTGAAAGCTTTTTTTTTCAAGAGTAAATGTATAAAATAATATCTTATCAACAATTGCTAAATGCTAAAATACAATCAATATTTTAATTACTAATAATAATAATTACATGTACGTATATCTGATGCATAATACAAAACAAGAAAATATATTCTTTTTTTTTTTCATTTCATTGAATTAAGAAATTAATTAAAATTTAAGATTAAATTGTAATTAAGATGGAAATCAATATTTTTTAAAATATACATAGATATCAAAATAATTAAATATCTGATAAAAAAAAATTTTTGATATAAAAAGATATTTATTTTTTTATTTTGTTTAATTATCTTAATCTAATTTAATTATATATGAGATTTTTTATTATAATTTCGCCATAATTAAAATACAATAATCAATATTTTGAAAGTTACTAAAATTGTAAAGATTAAACATTTTGTATACAGTTTGTGATATAAAATTAATGAATATCTTTTTTTTTATTTTATTTTTTTTATTTTTTATTATATTTTTTTTATATTTCATTTATTGCGCATAAATTGTTTTAGGTGTTTCTTTTAAGTATACATATTATATCCCATAAAAGGAAAAAAAAAGTCTTAATGTAATGTCACTTGTGTGATTCATTCAAACGGAAGAAAATTATCATACACGTCTTTAAAAACGTGCTCATAAACCAATTCTAATATTAAATCAATTTTAATTTATTTATTTATAATTTTTTCATTCATTTTTTTAATTCATTCATTTTGAAAATTATTATTAAAATAAAATCTTAATACAAAAATTAAAGGAACAAATAAAATATTAGAAATATTGTTTCAAATATAGTTATTTTGAAATATTGTTTTTTTAATTTTTTCATTTATTTTTTAAATTTCATTTTATTGAATTTTATTTGAAAATTTATAATCAAATAAAATACGAAAGAATATTTCTCACAAGTTTTTTTTTAAAAAGAAAAATTATAAAAATTTTATACGATTAGATATTAAAATATTTAAAAAGACGAAAAATTATCATAAAGATTTGTTTTTATCGATTCGTTAATGATCTACGACGAAGTATCATTACGTA